ACCCAAAATCAAGTTCAGTACCGACTAGGTGGCGGATGGTTTGCGTCCACAACTCATGATCCATGTCCAAAGTAATGCACAATGGAAATCACCTGTTCAATTCAGACCCGAGTCATGTTTGTGCACAATGGCTTTTACTTTCAACTCTTTTGAGTTTCTTTTTCGTCGGTCCAATTTCTAACTCAACCAGTTACGTCCGCAGTCTACAAAGCGGTAAAGTTCAACCCACAGCCCTGCAGCCCATAAATTCGATCTTGTTTATTCAACCCAGATTCAATACGTGTACCGACTCAGTGGCAGATGGTCCGCATCCACAATTCATAATCATGCTGCATGAGTCTCACTAGAAGTCGCCTGTTTGAATCAGGCCCGTGTAATGGGGCAATGTCCGAGATTGTTTTTACTTCTCGACTCTTCTGAGTTTTGTTTTCCCGTCGAGTCAATTTCAGCTCAACTGGGAGCCTTGAACATGGGTGCCGGTAAAGTTCAACCAACCAACAACCCATGCAGCCAACAACACCAATTTTTTCTTCTATTTATTCAACTCAGAATAAGACTGGCTACCAACTCGGCGGTGGATGGACCGCGTCCACGACACATTATTGCTCTGAAATTGACTGTATAAGTTGCCTGTTCGATTCAGGCCCGAGTCATACCATTACAGCTGCTTCTTTCCCCCCAATTCCCGTGTTCACTTTCCCCCGGTCAGTGCGAACGGCATGGTGTTCCTCATTTCTTCACTGGGAAAAGTTCAACATCTCTGGACTGGACCGGCTCGGAGGCTATCCTAATTTATTCTCATCTATCCAACTCAAATTCAAACGGGATACCGACTCGGTGGCGGGTGGTCCGTTCCCAGATCATATTACTCCGGATCTTTCTTGTGTATCGACCCTGGAAGTCGCCTGTTCGAATCAGGCCCGAGTCATAATTTGTCAAGGTCCGAAGTAGTTTTTAAAAAAAAAAAAAGATTCCTTTCGCCTACTCTGAGTTTTGTTTCCCTTATTAATTCAATCTTAACTCAAACCCAGGAGCAAAGGCTAGGGTGAAGTTTAACCAGACCCACGGCCCATGCAACACGTAAATTATGCTCATTATCCAACTCATCTTTAAGCAGGGTACCGACTCGGTGGCGGATGGTCCGCGTCCACGAGACATAACCATTTCCCTCTTAATGCACAGTGGAAGTCGCCTGTTCGAATCAGGTCCGAGTCGTAGCAGATTCTGGATGCTCCACCTTTTTTTGTCTTCTTGACTGGTTTATTTTCCGGGTGTTTCAGTTCATTCAGCCCCGATCATCCCTGCAAAAGAAATGTTCCCGCCTCTGCATTCTGAAAATTATAAGCGCGGTGATATAGAGAAACCAACCTGTGCAGTCCATACATTCTTTATATTTATTCCACGCACATCCAAGTCAAATACCGACTCGGTGGCGGATGGCCCGCGTCCACCACACATCATTCCAGTGCACAGCATACTGTGGAAGTTGGCTGTTCGAATCAGGCCTGAATCATAACCTGCAGATTTCCCTTTTTCCGTGCTATTCCTACTAATTACTCCGACTGCCTGGCATTCATCTGGTTCATTTTATCCCCGTGAACTCAGTTCAATACTGTACGTCTGATTCTTCATTTGGATTTACCTGATGCGATATTCGCATTTTATTTCGGAGACCACGGCGTTTCAACCAACCAATTGATGTGGCAGATAATTCATGCTCATTTATCCAACCTAGATTGAGGGTGAGTACCGACTCGGTGGCGGATGGTCCGTGTCCACAACTCCTTATGGTAGAGAAGAAGTCGTTGCCTGTGGAAGTCGCCTGTTCGACTCAGGCCCGAGTCATTCGTCCGGAATCATTTTTGCCGGATACTCTCTGACCGAGTCTCAGTTTTGTTTTCCCCGTCGATTCAATATTAATTTTACTCACTCAGTTGCGTTCGCGTTCCACGAAGCTAGGGTGAAGTTTAACCAAACCAATGGCCCATGCAACACATAAATTATGCTCATTTATCCAACCCAGATTGAAGCTCGATATCGACTCGGTGGCGGGTGGTCCGCGTCCACAATCTGTATTGACAAGAATTTGGTTGTGGTGGAAGTTGCCTGTTCGAATCAGGCCCGAGTCATCCAGCTTTGAGGGCGTGGTTTTTATTTTTCAACCCGTGTTCCAACTCATGTTCATTTTATCCTTGTGACATAAATTCACCTCATTCATTCAACTCAAATTGAGACAGGGCACCGACTCGGTGGCGGATGGTCCGCGTCCACGACACATATTTGTGTGGGCAGCATTCGCTGTGGAAGTCGCCTGTTCGAATCAGGCCCGAGTCATGGAGGCCAAACAAATTTATTTTTTTGTGCTTCTTGGTGTCCAGAGTTATTTCAATCGGACCTGATCATCCTTGCAAACGAACGTACGCGCCTCCGCATTTTAACTTTAATTCTAGACCACGGTGAAATAAAGCAACCAACCACTGTGCGGTCCGTAAATTCTCATCTATTTATTTAACTCAGATTGGGACTGAGTACCGACTTGGTGGCGGATGGTCCGCGCCCACAACTCGTAGATAGGCTGATGAGACGTTGACTGTGGAAGTTGCCTGTTCGAATCAGGCCCGAGTCATAACTTCCCCTCAAGCCACACTTTTTTTTTCCCCTGCTGTTCCTCCTGTTTCGACTCATCTGGTTCATTTTATCCCTGCGAAATTCAGTTTAAAGCTGTACGTCTGATCATTCTCTTGGAATCGCCCTGTGTATTTTTCTGAATATAATTCGGAGACTAAGGTGTTCCTACCAACCACTGTGTGGTCCGTAAATTCGTTTATTCCACTCAGTTTGAGGGTGAGTACCGACTCGGTGGTGGATGGTCCGTATCCATAATTCATGTGCCTGCAATGTGCCTTTGACCATGGAAGGTGTCTGGTCGAATCAGACCCGAGTCACTATTTAAGTACCATGTCACTTTTTTAGAATTTTTTTGGCAGCTGGCAGCTAGAGTGGATTTTCTTTCTGAACGTACACCAGCCACAGTATTACATTTCATGAAACATTCCCTGGTCAAGTGAATTTCCTACACGCAGTCATGTCACCTACCTTCCATGAAGTGGTAAGTTCACCAGCACATAGATTCAGTGTTGTTTATTCAACCCAGATTGAGGGTGAGTACTGACTCGGTGGCAAGTCAATAGCATTCGTTATGGAAGTCGCCTGTTCGAATCAGGTCCAAGTCATAGCAGATTCTCGATACTCCACCTTTTTTTGTCTTCTTGACTGGTTTGTTTTCCTGGTGCTCAGCTCATTCAGCCCCGATAATCCCTGTAAAAGAAATGTTCCCGCCTCTGCATCCTGAAAATTCTAAGCATGGTGATATTAACCAATCTCCATAAATTCATTCTATTTATCCAACCCACATTGAAGCTCAATACCGACTCGGTGGCGGATGGTCCGCATCCACAATTCATGAGTAGTGAAATACATTGACTCTGGAAGTTGCCTGTTCGAATCAGGCCCGAGTCATAAGCTCCAGATCTAGGTTTCTTTTTTTTTCCTGCCGTTCTTCCTGTTTCGACTCGTTTGGTTCATTTTATCCCCGTGAGCTCTGACTGTGCATCTGATTATTCTCTTAATTCAGCCGATGTGATAGTTACATTTTATTTCGGAGACCACGGCGTTTCGACCAACCAATTGATGTGGCAGATAAATTTATGCTCATTTATCCAACCTAGATTGAGTATGAGTACCGACTCGGTGGCGGGTGGTCCGCATCCACAACTCCTTAGGAGGAGAAGCCGTTGACTGTGGAAGGCGCCTGTTCGAATCAGGCCTGAGTCATGTTTTCGTCCTCCAAGATGGCTTTTTACTTTTTTACTTTTTAAAAATATTTATTTTGAATCAAGATTTATTTGCCCCTTACCGCGTACGGTACGTTAGGCATACGTCTACACAATGTCGTAAATACTGTCCGATGTAATCTAGAGGTCACTAAATAGGTGCGTTGTCTGCGGAATAATGCCTGACCCGCCAACATTAGGCGGAGACTGGTGGCTTTTTACTTATTACTCCTTTGAGTTCTTTTCCTCGCCGATTCAATATTTCCAACTGAACGAGTTGCGGCCGCGGTCCAAGGTTCAACCGGTCCATAAATTTATTCTGATTTATTCAACTCAGATTGGGGTGAGTACCGACTCGGTGGTGGATGGTTCGCGTCCACAATGTATTGCAGAATTGACAATTGGTGTGGAAGTTGCCTGTTCGAATCAGGCCCGAGTCATCCAGCTTTGAGGGCGTGGTTTTTATTTTTCAACCCGTGTTCAAACTCATGTTCATTTTATCCTTGTGACATAAATTCATCTCATTCATTCAACTCAAATTGAAACAGGGCACCGACTCGGTAGCGGATGGTCCGTGTCCACAACTTATGTGGATCAAGCCGATTGTATTCGCTGTGGAAGTCGCCTGTTTGAATCAGGCCCGAGTCATGGAGGCCAAACAATTTGTTTTTTTGTGCTTCTTGTTTCAATCGGACCTGATCATCCTTGCAAACGAACGTATGCGCCGCCGCATTTTTGACCTACAACTACGGTGAAATAAAGCAACCAACCGCTGTGCGGTCCGTAAATTCTCATCTACTTATTCAACTCACATTGGGACTGAGTACTGACTTGGTGGCGGATGGTCCGCGTCCATAGCACATTGTAGCTGAAGGCACTTGATGTGGAAGTCGCCTGTTCGAATCAGGCCCGAGTCATAAACCCACAAGAAAGTTTTTTTTTCTCCCTTTTTTCTCCCTCTTTCTCTCTCTCTTTTGTCAGCCGGCGTGGATTATTTTTTGGATGTACGGTCACACATGCATTGAACCTGCCACGTTAACAAAAGAGTCAATACAAAAAGAAAGTTCTCGACAAAACGTGACCGGCCCCCGGTCCGCCAATTCAAACTCCGCCCAACTCCGTCCCAAAAATTTGCTTGCTTGCTCTGATCCTTCTACTCTCGCAACGCACACAAACGATGAGCTCCTCCATCCCAATCTCCGCGTCCGGCATAACAGCGCCAACCCCCCAAAACACGCCCGCGCAGCACACGCCGATCTCCCCGGGCCTCTCGCGGCCCACGGTCCCCGATATCTCGGAGGAGGGCGAGGCGGCGGAGGAGTTGACGTCCCTAGGCGCGGCGGGGGTGCAGTCGGCGATGCTGGGGATGGTGCATGGGAAGTTGGCGGGACTTGTGGGGCGCAGCTCGGGGTACATCGAGGCGCTGCCGATGGAGTGTCTGGAGCTTGAGAGGAAGGTGAGTGTTTTTATTTTGTTTTGGGGGGTGAGTGCCTCGTGGTGGAGACGGCGCGATCGATCGATGACGGCACCACCCGCCCTCCCCACTTATCTTTTACCCTCAAGTTGAGTACTGACTCGGTGGCGGGTGGTTTGCATCCACAACTCATGATCCATGTCCAAAGTAATGCACAATGGAAATCACCTGTTCAATTCAGACCCGAGTCCTGTTTGTGCACAATGGCTTTTACTTTCAACTCTTTTGAGTTTCTTTTTCGTCGGTCCAATTTCTAACTCAACCAGTTACGTCCGCAGTCTACAAAGCGGTAAAGTTCAACCCACGGCCCTGCAGCTCATAAATTCGATCTTGTTTATTCAACCCAGATTCAATACGTGTACCGACTCGGTGGCAGATGGTCCGCATCCACAATTCATAATCATGCTGCATGAGTCTCACTAGAAGTCGCCTGTTCGAATCAGGCCCGTGTAATGGGGCAATGTCCGAGATTGTTTTTACTTCTCGACCCTTCTGAGTTTGTTTTCCCGTCGAGTCAATTCCAGCTCAACTGGGAGCCTTGAACATGGGTGCTGGTAAAGTTCAACCAACCAACAACCCATGCAGCCAACAACACCAATTTTTTCTTCTATTTATTCAACTCAGAATAAGACTGGCTACCGACTCGGTGGTGGATGGACCGCGTCCACGACACATTATTGCTTTGAAATTGACTGTATAAGTTGCCTGTTCGATTCAGGCCCGAGTCATACCATTACAACTGCTTTTTTTCCTCCAATTCCCGTGTTCACTTTCCACCGGTCAGTGCGAACGGCATGGTGTTCCTCATTTGTTCACTGGGAAAAGTTCAACATCTCCGGACTGGACCGGGGCGGATGCTAGACACCATGCCCTAATTTATTCTCATCTATCCAACCCAAATTCAAACAGGATACCGACTCGGTGGCGGGTGGTCCATTCCGACTGTGGAAGTCGCCTGTGCGAATCAGGCCCGAGTCATATTTCCGCACAATGGCTTCTACTACTTTTGACTCTGAGTTTTGTTTTCCATCAAGTCGAATTCTCACTCAACCCAGGAGAAAGCTTTCACGAAGCTGTAAAGTTCAGCCCCCTTAAGTTATTTCTATTCATTCAACACACCTTGAAGCTCAATCGCGACTCGGTGCCAGATAGTCCGCGTCCACAACCTATAGTGGAGGGTAGTTGTATTAGTTGTGGAAGTCACTTGTTCGAGTCAGGCCCGAGTCATCCATCTTTGAGCGTGTGGTGTTTATTTTTTAACTCCTGTTCCAACTCATCGGTTTATCCTTGTGACAGAAAATTCGCCTCATTCATTCAACTCAAATTGAAACAGGATACGACTCGGTGGCGGATGGTCCGCATTTATGACACATAAAAAATTCTGTGCTTTGAGCGATGGAAGTCGCCTGTTCGAATCAGGCCCGAGTCATGATAGTGAGCCACGAGTGGTACTTTTTACTCCTGTTCCGACTGCCTGATTCATCTGGTTCATTTTATCCCTGTGAACTCAGTTCGAAACTATGCGTCTTATTATTCTCTTCTATTGGTATTCACCCGATGTGATTGTGATAGTTACATTTTCTCTGAATGTAATTAAATTCGGAGACCAAGACGTGTTCAACCTGCGGCACATAAATTGATGCTCATTTATCCAACCCAGATTGAAGCTCGATATCGACTCGGTGGCGGGTGGTCCGCGTCCACAATTCATGAGTAGTGAAATACATTGACTCTGGAAGTCGCCTGTTCGACTCAGGCCCGAGTCATATACAGCGTCTAGTGCGCTTTCTTTTTCCTCCTATTTCCTCTGACTGCCTGGCATTCATCTGGTTCATTTTATCCCCGTGAACTCAGTTCAATACTGTACTGTAGGTCTGATCATTCTATTGGATTTACCCGATGTGAGCATTGTATTCTATTGGGAGAATGTCGCAAGTAGGTTCATTTAGCATGTTGTCCCCATAATTCATTCTATATATTCAACCCACATTGAGGATGAGTACCGACTCGGTGGCGGATGGTCCGCGTCCACAATCTGTATTGACAAGGATTGGGTTATGGTGGAAGTCGCCTGTTCGAATCAGGCCCGAGTCATGGTGGCTAACACGTTTTTTTGTGCTTCTTGGTGTTTAGAGTTATTTCAATCGGACCTGATCATCCTTGCAAACGAACGTACGTGCCTCCGCATTTTGACTTTAATTCTAGACCACGGTGAAAGAAAGCAACCGACCACTGTGCGGTCCGTAAGTTCTCACCTATTTATCTAACTCACATTGAAGCCAGATATCGACTCGGTGGCGGATGGTCCGTGTCCATAACATATCCCAGAAAACAGTTGTTGGTGTGGAAGTCGCCTGTTCGAATCAGGCCCGAGTTATAAATATGAAAGTTTTGTTTTTCTCCCTTTTTTTCTCCCTCTTTTGTCAGCCGGCGTGGATTATTTTTTGGATGTACGGTCACATTGAACCTGCCACGCTAACAAAAGAGTCAATACAAAAAAGAAAGTTCTCGGCAAAACGTGACCGGTGCCCGGTCCGCGAATTCAAACTCCGCCCAACTCCGCCCCAAAAATTTGCTTGCTTGCTCTGATCCTTCAACTCTCGCAACGCACACAAACGATGAGCTCCTCCGTCCCAATCTCCGCGTCCGGCATAACAGCGCCGACCCCCCAAAACACGCCCGCGCAGCACGCGCCGATCTCGTCAGGCCTCTCGCGGCCCACGGTCCCCGACATCTCGGAGGAGGGCGAGGCGGCGGAGGAGCTGACCTCGCTGGGCGCGGCGGGGGTGCAGTCGGCGATGCTGAGGATGCTGCATGGGAAGTTGGCGGGACTTGTGGGGCGCAGCTCGGGGTACATCGAGGCGCTGCCGATGGCGGTGAAGAGGAGCGTGGAGGGACTGAAGGGGGTGCAGGTGCAGCAGACGGGGTTGCAGAATCAGTATAAGAGGGACTGTTTGGAGCTTGAGAGGAAGGTGTGCATTTTGTTTTTCGTGGGGTGAGGGCTTTGTGCCTCGTGCCTCGTGGTCTCGAGACGGCGCGATCGATGACGGCAATGTGCATTGCCACCCGCCATTGACTATGGTCCCCACTTATGTTTTAACCTCCACACCATCTCACCGACTCGGTGGTGGCATCTACATCATATTGAAGGGACCACTACGTATTGACTGTGGAAGTTGCCTGTTTGATCCAGGCCCAAGTCATGAACGTACGGACATCGAATTTTAGTATTATCTTTCCTTTGACTCCTCGGAGTTTTGTTTTCCTTTTTGATTCAAATTTTAACTCGACAAGGGACTCCGGCCTTGAGCAAGTGCAAACGTTTGATCAAGCAGTGAAGTTCAACCGACTGCGCATGCGGCAAATAAATTCTTCTCGTTTATTCAACCCACATTGAAGCTTGCTACGGACTCGGTGGCGGATGGTCTGCCTCTACAACCTATTTCTTGGAAATGTACTGTTGTGGCAGTTGCCTGCGCAGCTGCTCAAATCAGTGATCTCTCTTGACTAAAAGAAATTCACTTTTTCCTACTGTTCCTCCTCCACTGCTGGCTCATCCGCTTCATTTTATCCCCGTGAACTTCAGTTGAATGCTGTATGTTGGATTATTTTCTTAGATTCACCCGATGTGACTGGTAGGTGCCGAATATAATTCGGAGACCAAGACGTTTCAACCAACGAACCGATGCAATGCGTAAATTCATGCTCATCTACCCAACCCACATTGAAATGGGCGCCAACTCGGTAGTGGATAGTCCATGTCCATAACTCATTTGCACCACATTCATATCAGCCGTGGAAGTCGCCTGTTCGATTCAGGTCCGAGTCATGATTTCTCCCCAAGCCATGCTTTTTTTCCTCCTGTTCCTCCTGTTCCGAATCATCTGGTTCATTTTATCCTTGTGAACTCAGCTCAATACTGTGCCTCTGATTATTCTCTTGGATTCAGCTGATGTAACTATTCGGAGACCAAGACATGTTCAACCAACTGATGCCATCTGTAAATTCACCCATTTATTCAACCCAAATTCAAGTCAGATACCGACTCGGTGGCGAAGGTCTGCATCCACATCTCATATCCCAGTGCAGAAACCGATTGAATTGGAAGGTGTCTGTTCGATCCAGGCCCGAGTCATACTTCGTTCACGAAGGTTTTTACCCTTCCTTTCGGCTCTTTTGAGTTTTTCCATTGAATATTAAGTTGACAGCCCAGCGTCTCATTATTCAACCCACCTTTAAGGCCAATACCGACTCGGCGGCGGATGGTCCGTGTCCACAACTCATGTCCCAAGAAGTGAACGATTGACTGAAAGTCCCCTGTTCTAATCAGGTCCAAGTCGTATCTCGTGAACCAAGATGGTTTTTACTTATTACTCCTTTGAGTTTTTTTTCCTCGTCCATTCAATATTTCTAACTCAACGAGTTGCGGCCGCGGTTCGCGAAGTGGTAAAGGTTTACCAACTAATGTGGTACATGGATTTATGTCCATATATTCAACCCAGATTCAAGCCGTATACCGACGCAGTGGCGGGTGGTCCGCGTCCACAATTCATGAGTAGTGAATGGCAGTGGAAGTCGCCTGTGCGAATCAGGCCCGAGTCATCCAGCTTTGAGGCCGTGGTTTTTATTTTTAACTTCTGTTCCAACTCATCGGGTTCATTTTATCCCTTCAGTCCAATATATGTCTGATTATTCTCTTAGATTCAGCCGATGTGATAGTTGCATTTTATTTCGGAGACCAAGGCGTTTCAACTAACCACTGTGCGGCACATAAATTCATGCTCATTTATCCAACCTAGATTGAGGGTGAGTACCGACTCGGTGGCGGATGGCCTGCATCCACAATTCATGTGAGGACTATTTGCTGATTTGAGCATGGAAGTCGCCTGTTCGAATCAGGCCCGAGTCATACGCAGTGCTTAGCGTGCTTTCTTTTTCCTCCTACTCCTCCTACTTCCTCTGACTGCCTGGCATTCATTTGGTTCATTTTATCCCTGCGAACTCAGTCTAAACTATGCGTCTTATTATTCTCTTCTATTGGTATTCACCCGATGTGATCGTGATGTTCGCATTTTCTCTGAATTACATTTGGAGACCAAGACGTGTTCAACCTGCGGCACATAAATTGATGGTCATTTATCCAACCCAGATTAAAGCTGATTACTGACTCGGTGGCGGATGGTCCGCGTCCACAACTCATGAATCAAGTCAATCGCATTTGCGATGGAAGGTTGCCTGTTCGAATCAGGCCCGAGTCACTGTTTGAGTGCTATGACACTTTTAAATTTTTTTTTTGGAGGCTGGCAGCTAGCGTGGATTTTCTTGGCTGAATGCACCGCTGCCACAGTATTACATTTCATTTCCTGGCCAAGTGAGTTTCCCAACATGCAGTCGTGTCACACCTACCTTCCGTGAGGTGGTAAGTTCACCAACGGCCCTCCGGCGCATAGACTCAGTGTTGTTTATTCAACCCAGGTTGAGGGTCAGTACCGGACTCGGTGGCGGATGGTCCGTGTCCACAACTTATGAATCAATCGATCGCGTTTGCTGTGGGAGGTTGCCTGTTCGAATCAGGCCCGAGTCACTATTTAAGTGCTATGACACTTTTTAAATTTTTTTCGGAGGCTGGCGGCTAGCGTGGATTTTCTTGCTGAATGCACCGCTGCCACAGTATCACATTTCATGAAACATTTCCTGGTCAAGTGAATTCTTACGCGCAGTCATGTCACACCTACCCTTCATGAAGTGGTAAGTTCACCAACGGCCCTCTGGGGCGTAGACTCAGGTTGTTTATTCAATCCAGATTGAGGGTCAGTACCGACTCGGTGGCGGGTGGTCCGCGTCACGACACATATTTGTGTGGACAGCATTCGCTGTGGAAGTCGCCTGTTCGAACCAAGCCCGAGTCATATTTGTGTTGTATGCTCTCATTTTTCCTCCTGTTCCGACTGCCTGAGATTCATCTGATTCATTTTACCCCGTGAACTCAGTTCAATACTGTACGTCTGATTATTTTCCTAATTCACCCAATGTGATAGCTGCATTTTATTCCGGAGACCACGGCGTTTCAACCGACCAATTGATGTGGCAGATAATTCATGCTCATTTATCCAACCTAGATTGAGGGTGAGTACCGACTCGGTGGCGGATGGTCCGTGTCCCAAACTCCTTATGGTAGAGAAGAAGTCGTGCCTGTGGAAGTCGCCTGTTCGACTCAGGCCCGAGTCATTCGTCCGGAATCATTTTTGCCGGATACTCTCTGACCGAGTCTCAGTTTTGTTTTCCCCGTCGATTCAATATTAATTTTTACTCACTCCAGTTGCATCCGCGTTCCACGAGCTAAGGGTGAAGTTTACCAGACCAACGGCCCATGCGGCACGTAATGCATACTCGTTTATTCAACCCCAGATTAAGGCTGGTTACCGACTCGGTGGCGGATGGCTCGCATCCATAATTCATGTCCCAAGAAGTGACTGTATTGACTTTGGAAGGTGTCTGTTCGAATCAGACCCGAGTCACTATTGAGTGCTATGACACTTTTAAATTTTTTTTCGGAGGGCTGGCAGCTAGCGTGGATTTTCTTGCTGAATGCACCGCTGCCACAGTATCACATTTCATGAAACATTCCTGATCAAGTGAATTCCAACATGCAGTCATGTCACACCTACCTTCCATGAGGTGGTAAGTTCACCAACGGCCCTCCAGCGCATAGATTCAGACTTCAGTGTTGTTTATTCAACCCAGATTGAGGGTCAGTACCGACTCGGTGGCGGATGGTCCGCATCCCACAACTCATGATTGATTCTGAAATTTGTTGTAATGGATGTGGAAGTCGCCTGTTCGAATCAGGCCCGAGTCATGGGCCGCCAGTGCATTTTTTGTGCTTCTTGGTGTTTAGAGTTATTCAATCGGACCTGATCGCCCCTGTAAATGAACGTATGCGCCTCCGCATTTTTTGACCTACAACTACGGTGGGATAAACCAACCAACCACTGTGCGGTCCGTAAATTCTCATCTACTTATTCAACTCAGATTGAGGGTGATTACTGACTTGGTGGCGGATGGTCCGCGTCCACAACTCCTAAGTGATCAGACTGAGTGACTGTGGGAGTCGCCTGTTCGAACCAGGCCCGAGTCATCCAGCTTTGAGGCCGTGGTTTTTATTTTTCAACCCGTGTTCCAACTCATGTTCATTTATCCTCATGACATAAATTCATCTCATTCATTCAACTCAAATTGAAACAGGGCACCGACTCGGTGGCGGATGGTCCGTGTCTCGATGTATCATAAAATCGACAGTTAGTGTGGAAGTCGCCTGTT